AAGAATGGGTAAGGGACAGGAAACCCCTCACCCTAACCGAAGCCGCCCGGTTGGCGGATCAGCATTTTGACGCCCGAAGGCATCATGGGCTTCCCAACAGGGCTCCCCTGAGACCAGCTGTACCACACCACCCAACCATCTCCACACCCGCCAACGCTACTCCATTCCGGCCACCACCAGGAAACCCCCCACCGTCATCACGCTACAATGGCAGGGCCAACATACAATGCCATACCTGCCGGCAGTGGGGGCATATGTCCCGGGAGTGCACCCAGAATCGGAGCAGGCAGGCGTGGAACCAGGTACGGCAAAACTCCGCTCCAAGGGCAGCGGCCCATTTCTACCACACCGAACATGACCACTCGGAGCTGGCAAGTCTATCAACCGAAGAACCATTGGGGGTTCTGTACGAGGTGATGTCTGTGCAAGCCACGGACAACCGGCAGCATCACCGCCAAGTTGTATTTGTGGGAGGGAAAGAAGTGCAGGGGCTGCGGGACTCGGGAGCCACCTTGACCTTAGTGGCCCCCCATTTAATTCCAGATACGGCCCACACTGGCGGATCAGTGGCAGTCCGGGTAGCAGGGGGAGCCATGTACCGGTTACCCACGGCCAAAGTGCATTTGAACTGGGGTGCTGGGGAGGGGGTTGTAGAGGTGGCCATAATGAAGAAACTACCGGCCGATGTTGTTTTGGGGAATGACTTGGGCCCGATGACTTCTGCTTTTCTTCCCCAGGCTCCTTCCCAAGAGGCGCATCCGGTAACCACCCGGCAACAGGCTCGCACCACGGCATTCCCCGCACACTCTGAGGCTCAGGTAAGACACCATGACCCCCCCTTGACCGACATGACTTGGGACACCCCGACCACATTTGAAGCTGAGGTTCAGACAGACCCCACACTGCAGGTGTACCGAGATAGGGTAGACACGGACCAGGTGGGGCGGGAGGGAGAACGGTACGTATGGGAAAAGAAGTTACTGTACCGGGTGGCGGAAAGGGCAATAGGCAACTCTGTGACGCTCCAAACCAAGCAGCTAGTAGTGCCCCAGAAGTATAGGCAGGAGTTACTGAGAATAGCTCATGATATTCCTCTGTCCGGCCATTTAGGGATGACCCGGACCCGGTATCGCTTAACGCACGCTTTCTTTTGGCCCGGGATTTCCAAAGACGTGAGGCAATATTGTACCTCCTGTGATGTGTGCCAGAGGGTAGGCAAAAGGGGGGATCGCCATAAGGCAAAACTATGTCCCCTACCCATAATTGAGGAACCGTTCAGCCGGGTAGCCGTAGATATAGTAGGGCCACTACCAAAACCCAGCCCCTCTGGGAAACGGTATATCCTGACCGTGGTGGATTATGCCACCCGGTACCCCGAGGCGATTGCCCTAACTAATATCCACGCGGAGACCGTAGCCGAAGCCTTGATGAAAATATTCTCCCGAGTAGGGTTCCCACAGGAAATGGTCTCAGATAGGGGGACCCAATTCACGGCTGAGGTTACTCAGCAGTTATGGAGGATATGTGGCATAAAGCCGATCATTAACTCCGCGTACCACCCGCAATCCAATGGATTATGTGAGAGATTCAACGGTACCCTAAAACAGATGCTTCGGACATTCGGAGAGACCCATAAGGACTGGGAACGATTCCTTCCCCATCTGTTGTTTGCATACAGAGAGGTGCCCCAAGAGTCTACGGGTTTCTCCCCCTTTGAACTATTGTTTGGGAGAAGGGTCCGGGGGCCGTTGGATCTCATTAGAGAGCATTGGGAGGGAGAGAGTAGTGCAGATGGAACCCCTATTGTACCATACGTGCTGGCGTTCCGGGATCGCCTGGAGGAATTGACCCAGGTGGTGCGCACCAACCTCCAGGCCGCCCAACAACGACAGCGTCGTTGGTATGACAGAGGGGCCAGAGACCGTAGTTTTCAAGTGGGGCAGAAGGTGCTAATCCTTAAACCTGTCCGCACCGATAAACTGCAGGCCGTCTGGCAGGGCCCATACCAGGTGGTAGAGCAGAGATGCGATACCACCTATGTGATCGGCCCATGCTCCGGAGTAGGGAAGAGACGCATGCTCCATGTGAACATGCTCAAACCCTACCACGAGCGGACGGAGGACGTGGCAGCTATTTGCACGCCCGCCTCCGAAGATCAGGAGAACCTGCCCCTTCCAGATCTGTTAGAGCAGGAGGAGCAGAAGGAACCCTCCCAGGGGGTTCAACTGGGGGAGCGGCTAAGTCCTCAAGAGCGTATCCAGGTACAAGAACTGATAGCAGCAAAGGGCGCTACCTTTTCTAACCTACCTGGGTACACTCCACTAGCCACCCACCGAGTAGAAACCCCGGGACAGCTTCCCATGCGACAGACTCCCTATCGGATTCCTGAATCCGTGCGGGAACATATGAGGAAGGAAATTGAAGAGATGTTGCAGTTGGGGGTTATTGAACACTCAGCCCCTGGGCATCGCCGGTAGTCCTGGTTCCCAAGAAAGATGGTACCACCCGGTTCTGTGTAGACTACCGGAGGTTGAACGACAAAACTGTGTCGGACGCCTACCCGATGCCTCGGATAGACGAACTGCTTGATAGGATGGCCAGGGGTCAGTATCTCACTACCATAGATTTGTGTAAGGGATACTGGCAAATTCCACTAGCCGAGGACGCCATTCCTAAGTCGGCGTTTGTCACCCCGTTTGGCTTGTACCAATTTCGAGTCATGCCATTCGGGATGAAGAACGCCCCCGCGACATTTCAGCGGATGGTGGATCGGCTACTGGACGGGTTCCAGGACTATGCGTGTGCATATCTGGACGATATTGCCATCTACAGTCAGACCTGGTCAGAACACCTACAACACATAGGGTCAGTAATAGATCGGATCCGAGAGGCAGGGCTTACCTTGAAACCCAGCAAATGCCACATAGGGATGGCAGAGGTCCAGTACTTAGGACACCGGGTTGGTAGCGGGCAGCAGAAGCCTGAGCCCGCAAAGATTGAAGCTGTAGCCCAGTGGCCTACCCCTAGGACCAAAACCCAAGTCCTGGCTTTCCTAGGTACCGCAGGGTACTACAGAAAATTTGTACCCAACTACAGTGCCCTGGCCAAACCCCTGACTGATTTGATGAAGAAAAACCTGCCCCGGCAGGTCGTCTGGGCCCCAGAGTGTGAACAGGCATTCAATCAGCTGAAGACGGCTCTGACCAATGCCCCTGTACTGGCTGCTCCTGATCCAACTAAACGTTTTCTTGTTCACACAGGCGCCTCAATGTTTGGATTGGGAGCAGTACTGAGCCAGGTCGGAGCCGATGGCGGAGAACACCCCGTAGCATACTTGAGTCGGAAACTGTTACCCCGAGAGGTGAGCTACGCCGCCATAGAAAAGGAATGCCTGGCCGTGGTGTGGGCCCTGAAAAAGTTACAGCCGTATCTCTATGGGCAACCCTTTTCTTTGCTCACAGATCACAACCCGTTGGTGTGGCTAAACCGTGTGGCTGGAGACAATGCCAGGCTGCTGCG